CTTGGGATGTATACATCTCTGAGAGGAGAGATTCTGCCCAACACGCTTCTTATTTTTAATTATGCACTTCTTTAGGAATGAAGGAAAGTACATTTTAGTGATTTATTACTAAAATCATTGTAATTTTTACCAAGATAAACCAAGGTTGAGGATGTCACAGATTATTTACAAAAAAAGTGGCCACAGAGAGTCCCCTTCCTATGTCTGCGCCTTGTGAGCCTACTCTCCGATGACTCTGGACTTGGCCGAGTGACCTCTGTCAGCTGGTGGGAAAATTGCAGAGGTGAAGGAAGCCACACTCAAACTTGCCTTCTCTTGGTGGGTCATTCTGACCACCGTGCAAAGAAGCCCAGGCAAGCCTGCTACAAGAGGAGGCCTGTATGGCTCAGATACTTCTGTCACGAAGCCGGCAGCCACCCCTGGAAGACGGTACCAATTCCCAGCCACCAGGATCTCAACAGAGGCCACCTGGGATGCACAAGTCACCTGCTGACCTGAGAAACTACAGGTAAGCAGGGGCAGCCCACAGGGAAGAGCCTGGCCGAGCGACAGGATCATGAACTAAATAAAGTGTTTTGAGTGGCAGTTTGTCATTTGGCAAAACCTGGTTAGGTTGAATAGAAGTCAAAGTTGAGCATAAAACTGAGTTGAAGGAAAGTTCAGATGCAAGGGAATTATAACAAAGATTATCTCTAAAAACAAAACGCTAGGCACATAGCTTTTTGGAAAGACTATGCACAACAAGAGTAAAGAGCAAGTCTACGTCTCCTTCCCCTCCACCTTCATCTCTGCCTCTGTGGACATTCAGGGCCACAAAATGCTCCAGTACCTACTTTCAGAGAAGGTAAAATGTCACACGGAAGACCTTAAACATCGCATTCTGTTTCTCCTATTTAATGGGAAGCTCAAACCCCAAAAGACAAAAGAGCTTGCTCAATTTACCCAGAAATTCAGCTGATATTTGCTTTCTTTTCAATGAATGAAAGCATTTCCTGGGCAGCTTTGAAAACACTGCTTCAAGCGCCTTGCAGGACCACATAGTGCTTGGTTTTCTTTTCATTGCATCCCAGACTGAATTCTAGCATGGCTGGAGCTGGATCAGGAGCTTGGTGACTAGGAAATGAAAGGCTCTCCTGCGGTCAGTACTCCTGGAGTCGTCTCTGGGAAGACACCCTCTCCTCAGTCCCAGGTGGAGAGTGGACCCAATACAGAGATCCCATGAACTGAGCAGAAGGGAAGTAAGAGAACAGAAAGAAGAAAGAGGGGGAAGGAAAATGATGATACGAAGGCATGCTGATCCTTTCAATATTTCCTCCTTCAAGGAAGACTTTGGAGGGTTGGATTCTTCCTTAAGTGCTTGGTCTGAATGGTCAGTTGGGTGTGGACCCAAGGAGGCCGCCTGGCCCGGTACCTGCAAGGTCTCCTTGGTGATGGAATGGTTGGACTTGCTCAGGACCCAGCGAGCTCTGGAACACTTACCATTCTTATCTTCCTCTTCTTACGTGGACCTGCCTTCCAGCTCTTCTGGACTTGCTAGCCTTTTTATCCCTGGTGCCTTGAGACCCTCTCCACCTCCCCCTGCAGGGCACACACCTGTCTGCCTTGTGGGTGGCCCTCAGCTTCCAGCACGGCCTTGGGTAAGCCTGCATCAATTCCTCCAGGCTAAGCTGCTGTCTTCTATAGTTTCTGAGTTGTGACCCCCTCTTCACAGCACTAATTCTGCTGGGTGTGGCCAGCCGTTTTGAGGAGCTAAAGTTATTTCTGGTATTCAATCTTCTGACACGCAAGAGTTACACGTTCTTTTATTCTCTGTGTTTATGAACACACTTTATTTATTTATTTATTTATTGTACTGGGATCGAACTCGGGACCTTTTGCTTGTGAGGCAGGTGGTGCGGCCACTGAGCCTGTCCTCTAGGTTTAAACCTTCAGTGTTACATGCCTCCTTACCAAGGAAGCAGGAAGCTTTTTGTTGGCCTTAGTGATTGTTTGCTGGTGTCCTCAACAGGAAGGAACTGCCATGCAGAGGCATGTGCACTGGGACAACAAGGGAAGCTAATTCTTGGAAATGGTGTTACCAGTCTAGTGGGAGCTACTCACCTTCTTGGTAAACTGTTTTTGAAGAGAGATGACACATGTTTAGAAAAATAGCTTTGCCAACAGCTTCCAAATTCTATAGACTGTATAGTTCATAGATTCACAATAGAGTTAACTTATAAGGCAGAAAACATGCTGCTGGCTACTTGATGCGACTAAGAGAATGGCTTTTCGGCTGAGCTGCCTGTAAATAACAGATGTATGTTCTTCGAACACCAATCAGATTCTTTCTGTGGGAGGTATTTATATCTTGCTATCAGCTTAGTTCTTTCTGCCTTTTCACCTTCTGAAATTCATTTCTAATTATCATGAAATAGCACTCTTATTCATAAAGGGTACAATAAAATGTAATTGGAAGGAAATATTAAAAATAATTTTTATAAGATGTATAATAAAGGGAGTGGGGGCAGGGAGGAAAAAAAGATGTATAATAAGGCACCACTAGGGCTGGGGATTTAGCTCAGTGGCACTGCAACTGCCTCACAAGTGCAAGGTCCTGAGTGCAATCCCTGGTACAAAAAAAAAAAAAGTACCATTAGTTATAACCTAACAACTGATCATATTTTGACCTAAATTTCACTTTTCTATCAGCATAAAAGTTTACCTTAAAAATTAATAAATAGATGTAAGGGGGAGGGCTGAATAACTTGTTTAAGAGGTCAGAATATTTTGAACTCTCTGAGTAATACCAAACTTGGTAAAAAGCCAATATGCCAATTAAGAGGCATTTATCTAGTGAAGCTGGTGATGTTGGGTGTTTATTTCTCGATATATTGTAAGTATCGTTGCCACTTGGTTTACCTGACAATAATTGCAGAGTTAGTTTTAAAATATTCTATATTTCCACCTTGCTAGCTGACACTGCTAAGATTTTGCTGTTTAGTAATTTTTAGGAGGGATGCTTTCTGCAAAGTTTTCTGTTTTGTTTATTCTGCAGACTATTCTCCTTAGTGAGAAATGGCTGCTGCATGTGCAGAAAGAGTACAAGAGACTGCAGCAGGAAGACACTGTGATCAATTCTCAAGTTGGGCTTCAGAAGGCAAAATCTGACTCAGCCAGCAGCTAACTGGACAAGGCAAAGCTTTCAGCAGACTGATGGACTGCACTGTCCTGGGTCTCCTGCGTCCTAGGCCATGCTCTGTGTGGCTCCCCCAGCTCGTTCTCCAGGAGCAGCACCAGGGACAGCTCCCCACAGCCCCTCAGCCTTGTGAGTAGGACTTGGCCTGGCATCCAACTATTGTCAAGTCTAAGTTCAGATGTGGGTAAGAAAAGGTTAAGACTCCGACTTACCAGATAGCAACTGAGGATCAAAATGTCTTAGACTTTTCTTATACTGTGCTACAATTAGTAGGAAGAGTTAGTAGCTTCATCAGCTGAGATTTATGTGCAGCGGTTTTAGGCAGGTAGGTGATGAACTGGGAATTTGAGGATGTCTTATCATACACATTTCTGTGTACCATTTAGCTCTCTGTTTCTAGGTCTGCTCTTATCTTGGTCTGTTTGTATGATTACAGTTATTATTTGTTGGCTTACAAATAAGCAAATAACGCTTACAAATAACGCTGTTGCTTCAGCGTTATGATCTGCTGGAAATTTCACCAGTGCTCAAACAGTTTTTCCCTTAGTAGGTAGAACTTTGGACAGAAATATATGGTGCCAGCAGGCCTCCAGAAGGAATGCAGTGTTTGTGATGTAAAAGGAATAACTTGTGAGAGACCGCTTGTGGAGCTAATGTAATGAGCTGAAGAGTGCTCTAGAGATCTGTTGCAAGTCTGATGACAACAAAGAACAGTCATGTAAACAAGGAGGTTGAACATCTCCCGCAGAGATATGTGACTATAGGATTCTGCAAGGAAATGCAACACGCTACTCCAGATTCACCCGTGTTGAGACTCTTGGGCTGGGTTCCAGTGGGGAGCGTTCAAGATTTAAATCAATTTTAAAACTTTAGGAGGGAAAACAACTGGAACCACATTTTTTTTTTGTTTTCCTCAATATGATAAAGAAATACTGGCTTATTGAGAATTACAAATTATAAGAAGAATAACAAATTATAAAAGTTGTACGTCAAATTGAATCTTAGAACACATTGTGCCATGTACTGTTGGTAGCAGCAGACACCCTCCTTTAGTCACAAGCAGTGCATCTGATTTCTTTAGATCATGCACAGCATGCTGGATAGAGCTGGTAATTGAGTACTATACATTTCAGTTTCTCTGAGAGCAAATTTCTAAGGTTCTCACCACAAAAATGTTAAGTATTTGAGGTGATGGTATATATCTTAATCATTCTACATCGTGTTACAAAATCAGAACATCACTTTGTATCCCATAAATATGGTTCATATATAATGCAATAAATGAAAGGGAAAATTTTGTAATGTAAAAATTATGACTGAGAAATCTCCTCTCATTGAAATTTGGAGACATCATTGTTCCAGGGGCTGTGTAGTGCTCTCAGAACACAGTACTTCTAGATTAGAAGGCAGGATTTGAAGAATTTACTCTGATGGGCAGCTGAGAAGCACAGCACAGGGAAATGTGAGATCAGGTTCCTCATGCTGACTCTGTGGTGGTTCAGAGGAGATGTGAGGGACATGTGGACCCAAGCGTCCCCTGAGAGCTATCACAGCAGACCAGGAGGTGCTGGCCGGCATGGGTTGGTGCCGCCCCGGGCCATGCTGGGACAAGAGCACTGGTGCCAATTCGAACAGGAGAGGTGACCGCTAGGGCCATGGCTGGAGAAGCAATATGTACTGACACGGGACGGGAAAGGTCTATTTATTTAGAAAAGTTCACCATGAAGTCGTCCAACAGGATAAACAACTCAGAAAATCAACACCTATTACAGAACAAGGGATTCACTGTATTTGCTGATTTTTCTAGGCATCTTACTATGATACTAAACAGCACCCTCCCAAGTCTCCCTGACCTGGTTAGCAAGTATGACTGTGAAAACTGCCTTTGTGGTGTTGTTATACCTCTTTGCGTTTTTCTGACTTGTATTTAAGCATAACATAGTGCACCCAATGTCGACAGGCACCTAAGTTAGCACTGATTCCTCTGGTTGGATACATGAGCCACACGCTTATGTTAGGCAGAGAGACACTATTACGTAGTGTCTGAGCAGACTGATGTATTTTCATCTAACAGAGACTTCTGAGAACCTCCATTCACCTTTGAAACATCAGCAGCTTTCAGTACAGAGGCCACACAAGTTTTCTAATGTTATTTTATTTAATTTCTCTGCTGGTCTGACTCTGATTAGGAGTTCAGATAAAATCATGATTCTCCACTTTGATTCTGCTAACGCATTCCTTGGCTCCCTCTGGCACAGCAGCAATACTGCAAGTAAATTAATTTGAAGAAAGTTGTAGCAGAGCAGCACAGGGTTTTTCTGGGGTGGCTGCTGTTACTTGATTTCCAGATGGTTTAGGTTTAAAAAAATATACTCAACTTCTCTTCACAGACACATTTCACAAGGGTATGGAAATGCAGCAGAGAAATGAATCTTTGCATGAACCCTCGGATGCGCACAATCAGCTTCCACTCTGGAAGCCAGGAGGGGACAAGTAAAACAAAATGAGCTTTTAAAAAAAGTTGCACATAGAGTAATTTTAATCCATTCCATTTTAAATACCACAATAATTTTAATTTTCACAATAAATTAAATAGTCATATTCAGTTTACAAAATAGAATTACTTAGTGTGAAACCAGTATTTACAACAATATACACTATGTACACGGCATTTCTCTTTGTTGGCATGGAACAAGGGAGTAAAAGGACTTGACTTTCCAACATGTGACTGACAGGCTGCCTGTGATGCCATGGTCTGCTTGAGAAAACAGTAGTGCAAAATCACTATGGGGACTTTGGAACAATGTCAATTTTATGAGATAGGACATTCTTTTAAATAATAAGAAAATAGCATTTTCTGTTTTCCTGGCACCAATTCAGGACCTGAATTATAGAGCCAGCTTTCTTTTTCTTAGAAAAAAAAATGCATAACTGAATCCTCTACTTCCTGAAGCTTCACAGCCATTGGTACATTTTCACACATCCTTCTTTTGGCTTAAATCTATGAAAATGGCGGGTGACAAGTTCTGAATCAAAGGAAGACTAACTCTTTGAGAATAGCTGAAGTCACGTTCTTCCTCTACCACCACCTCTTCTATTCCTGTAAATAGCTTAGAAGATGCAACTATGCGGAAAGCAATTTAAATTTTTTTTTTGTAAATTTTCAGTAGAGAAAGAACTGATCTTATATTTGGTCACATACTGCATATGTACAAGGATACACGGAAAATAACTTGTATAGCTGTGTCTAGGAAAGTGCATATCTTAATCTAGAAGAGATATCGTGGGATTCTGGGCACAACACATAGTGTTGTGTGACATATTATTTTAGGGCCAGTTCAATGTCCTTCCAGTGATCTGGTAGAATTTTTGATTAAAAGGGTGAAAGAATTTGCGCAATTTGGTAATGACAGAGGGGTCCACCTCTGGATGAATGCGCCCCTTGCTGCCTGCCAGGCACTTATTAAAGATAATATTAAATCGTAAGCAGTAAAACCCTCTGGTAGCATTGAAGTATAAATTGTATTGACTTATTCTTGGAGGAAGATTTAGGAACTTCTCCACGAGCTGAAGTTCTGGCAAAGGCTCTGTGATGAGGCGATCTCCATCCACGACATGAAACTGCTCGATTGGAAAGTATTTCAGCCACCTTTCCAGGTGTTTTGTGTAGATGCTGGTTCTTACTGCCTTGTATTTTGTGTTCACTTCACAGGTGTTAGGATCTATGGCCAGCTTCTCAAACTTGTAATAAGTCTTGTTTTTCCTCTCCTTCCCTTCTAGCACCTGAGTATAATCAGAAATAGCTCTTGTGGTTGGCTCCCTGACAATGATCAACAACTTGATGGATGAGTTCATTCTGTAAATCCTCTCCGGAACCTCCTCAGTGATAAAATATGCTGGGCTTTTTTCAATTGTGATCTGCTGAGGGTATGAGAAAGGCATCTTTTTCCGGTACCACTCAATGCCCTTGGCATAATTCTCATCGTTGTCAAAGAAGTGGATTTCTTGAGAGGCTTTGACCACTGCCGGATGGAGGTTGAGCATCTCCAGCAGGGCCCGTGTGCCCCCTTTCCTCACCCCAATGATGATGGCCTTGGGGAGCTGCTGGACCAGGTCATGGAGGTGAACCTGCTCTTTGGACGTGTTGCCCTTCCGAAACTCGTGCAGCAGGCCACGCTTAAACTGCAGGGCACGAAGTGGGAATTCAGCCTGACTGCGGGTTCCACCAAACCGGCCTTCGATGGGACACACGGGCTGTAGCCTGCAAGTGACAGAGATACTGTGAGAAGATCATTACAACCAACTTCTTGCTTTTCAGGTTTCCCAGTCAGACTTAGACTTTCTATGCATAAATAAAACCACTGGTTTCCAGCTTACTGCAATTCATAAAGAACATATGTCTAGGAAATTTTATTTAAGCAACTCTACATTAAATGGAGCACACATAATTGATGGAATTTTTTATTAGTGCCCCTTAAAATTTTTATTCACCAAGCACTTAATTGACTATGGCGTGTACTTATGTTCACAGTACAGGATAGACAAGTGACATCAGCCACACTAATAGCTTTTTAACAGCTCACCATTTAAAATCATTTAGAAAACGTGAAAGGCAGAAGATTACAATCTTCAGCTGGGAGGCTGAAGGGTGGAGAGGAGGCCATTTGTTTTGGACTTCGTGACACATTACTTTCTTGCAGCACAGCGACAATTGCTTAACTCTTAAAAATCTTTTAGATATAGTCTGAAAAGTGGTCCCAATTTCCCTATGCATATGGTCACACGTTGAGTTTCCTTTTACATTTAGTGTGGAGTGAGCTGACGTTCATTGTAATTTCCCTAAGTTGATCTAGCAAGACATTTTAGTTTTCTCTGGACAGAAGGGATATTAGTCTAAATGCTATTAAACCAATTCCTTCTCTTTCAGGAGAAGCTTCAGGTTCCCCCAGTAAGTGGAAGTCTGTGCCTCTTCCTATGACAATGAAGCTATTGCTTGCTTTTCCAAGAGGAGCTGCTGTCTCTCAAAGGCATGTTCAGTTATTTTGTAGACCTTGGAGGAGTGGTGCTGTTCTGTACTCTGGTTAAGGAGCTATCATGATGCTTAAGGAGAAATAAACATATCTTACTTTTTTCTAGCACTTTTTTTTTTTATTGAGTTTATTGGTACATTTAGGGATACAGTACAGTTACATTCATTGTTGGGATCATGTACCTTTACATGGCAAGTCTTGATTCTCATTTTTTTCCCCTTACCTGTGCCCTCCCTTCACCCCCTCCTCCCCTCCCCATCTACAAACACTTTATTTTCATCTTTTCATTCTCTCACATTTTTTTCTTTTCCCTTTTTGTTCTTCCCCTACGTATCACACCTTCCCTACACCTTTAGCTC